TTAATTCCATCATAAATACTTAATGATGGTTTCAACTTTAAAAAATACCTAAGGGCTTAAAAAAAGAGTTGATTTAATAAAACTGAGTACCACTTGCAGAAAGTGCCTTAATTTTTTCCACTTGTTATAATCCAGTTTCATGACACCGTCTAGAAAACATAAAACCACTTGAACCACTCACTTTGGGATTAATAAACTACATAATTGGGCTGGAGACATGCAGAGAAACTTCAACCAGTTTCGATTCAATTTATTCAATAGTTGCATAAACTTCTGCTGTAAAATATTTGTCGCATGAGAGTCTTACTTTTTGCTAGTTCAAATAGGAAATACCCCTTATCCGTGACACCCCCAACGTAACCCCCTTCTGGTCCATAACCATTTATACAATATTTGTGTCAATAGCTGGGCTTTGATAGTTGTCAACCAACTTCAATTGCTGACGTCAAAGACTTTGGCCCACGCTTCGTGAGAAACGTGTTTTGGGCCCCCTTGGCCCCTCGGAATCCCTCACATATTTTCTTATCGTTGCGGATTTCAGGTGTTCGCATTGCGTGGGCCTGACTCACCTGAAATCACCTCAACGCAGTCCGGATTGGATTGGCTTGGGTCCGTTTGGTTTGGTTCTCTAATAAAATTCGACCCTGGCGGGGTTCCGTTTCACTTTTCGCTAGATTTTTACATTTCGATTCTGTTTCTTTTATTTTTGGCTGCAGTATCAACAGAATTTGTTAAGACGGTTTAGTGTCGTTTCACACGTAAGATGCAGCTCCACAGTGGTCAGTCCCTAAGTGATAAATCAATTAAGATTAAAACTGCAATTTTTGAGATTTACACATAATATTTTTTGGAGCTATAAATCCTCAGTTGTCTGTGGCTTTATATTTTCAGTTTACACTAATATTTATGAGTGGCTTTATTTAGTGTTTTACAAATAAAAAGAGTTTGGTTTTTATTTGAAATGGAATTCCTAATTTCGGGCAGCCACTTTATCTGTATCTGTATCTGAGGGATGCATTCTTGGCATGTTTGTTTGTGGTTTGCATTGCAGTATTCGAAATTGTTTGCTTTGTTTTTGTTTATCGCCAGCTCGCGAATCTTTGTTGTCTTATCTTCGGCTGCTCTTCACGCTTTTTCAGTACTTTCTGCTCTTTTTTCTTTTGTTTGAGTCGCGCGCACGAAATTTTCACCTCCGTCGAACAGCATTGATGAATGAAAAGGGGGCGGGGTTCAGGTGAAAAAGGGGGAAATCGACGATAAGCGATGAGTGTGCGGAGTTCCCTTGGTGGCTGAGCTTTTTGTTGCTGCTGCCGCTGCGATTCTTGTGATTCATATTCCGTAGTCGCAGTTGCATTTGCATTTGCACATTGCGCTGGTTAGGCATTTTTCCGGCCCGCCCCCCGCAGCTACGCCCCTGTTCTTGGCTCTTAAGAAAACCCCCTGCTTTGTGTTCGGTGTGAAATATTTACGTGTAGACAACATTCTTCCAGCAGAAGTTGCAATGGCAACTAAAATCCCAGACTAAAAGCAAACTTAGTAAGCACACACAGCTTTGCTGTTTTCCTTGGCATTTTACCCACATTTATTTTCGGTGCATTTCCGCCTGCCATTTGCCAGAGCACCTTATCCTACCACTCATCCGTTTTCCTATAGATAACTCCCCACCTGGGCAAAAATAAAGAACGAGAAGAAGAAGAAGAAGAAGGAAAATAAATCTCTAGGATGGAACCTAGCCGGAAAAATTTCCTACCCTGGAGCTATTGGAATAAAATGAGAAAAAACTAGCGCAGTGGTAATAAAAATTTGTTAAGATGTATTCATATCACCATCGAGTTTATTGCAGGAAAATGTGTTCTTCTTAAGCACTTGTTCGAAAATAATTAACTTGTTTTGTTGGGCAAGGAAAAGAGTTTTTCCTATTACAAAATTATGGCTCGAAGAAACAAACTTCGCTAGTAGTTTTCCCAGCTGTCCAACTGGTCAAGTTTAAGACTGCCAAAACCCATTTCTCAATCACCGAAGTCCCGAAAGACTGGGAAGGCCGTACTCCATCAAGGGTATTCGGCAAAAAAGAGTTTCCTTCGCTATTCATCTGCGCTTTACTTTTGGCATAAACATTTCCTAAACTTTTATCTAATTCAACAAACTGCAGCAACAACACACACAGGCGACAGCAACAAAAACAAAGGCCAAAACAACGTCGGCTTCATCCATTTTGCAAGGTTCCCAAGACATTTCCACATTTTCCAAGTCATTGTTCTTGTTGTTATTATTGTGTGCTCCATCTTTGAGCTTTTGTTTTTCTTTATTTATTTTTTTCGGTTGTGTTTTTATTTCGCATTTTCAGCGTGTTTCAACTTGTTAGGCATTCAACTTTTCACATCGTTGCTCTGCTTATTTTTTTGTTTTTCCGCCGCGAAGGTTTTTCCTTCAACTGAGTGTGTTGGTTTTTTCGGACTTTTCGGTTCGGTTTTGTGCAACACAACACACGCCACTTGAATTCTTTGTTTGCGTCGCCCTGAGACTTTGGGGCGCCTCAGCAAAGGAGGCGTGGCAAGAGTGGGTGGATGGGGGCGTAGCTTCTGGTGGTGTTGCGACTTCAAATGGTTGCATAATCCGGCAGTTTTTAAGGTATTCTTAAGCGTTGAGTAGTTTAACTATATGCCGTAATTTACTAGTATGTCTTGTATTCAATAAGTAATTGCTTTTCAAAGAATTTATCAATTTGGGAAAATACCTCAGAATATTTTAATTGAAGTTCTGCATGAATGCACTCAAACCTATAAATCGCAATTCTCAGCTTTTCACTTCAATTCAGGCATTCAACACTTTACTTCTTTGGTGTTTCCACTTCAAATAATGGCATCAACTTTTTTGAATTTATTTCAGCTTTCGGCATAAACTGCACTAATTTATTAGCTCTGATTTGTATGCGTTTCGCTGAGTATCTCGCAGATACAATCTGTATCTGTATGCGTGTGCACCTTGGCCGACAAGACAAGACAAACTACAAAACTGTTAGAGCCATTGTCTTTGCAACTCAACTTGAAATGTCTGCTTAGATTAATGCGAATGCGAGAGGGTCTGACACTAATGAAGGTCAAAGGTGGTCCAAAAGGGCGGCAACGGGTGGGTGGGGGGAGTTGAAGACAGCTTAAGAATGATTAAATACTATAAACTGTTGACTTTTGCGCTGAAATTGCCTTGAGAGATGCGGCACAAGAACACAAATCAGTTGCTGAATTTAATAGCGTTCAGAAGTTTTGGCCAAATTAAGTTCAGGGGAAGTGGAGAAGGAAATAAATAGTAATTAAAGTTTTACGAGTTGGATGGTACTTTTAATACGCAGCTTAACTTTTCGTATTCCTTTGACTCGACTTAGAAAACTTTTTTACATATCTCTTCATAACTTTTCCACTTCTGCACACAATAACAAAAGAAAAGTAGCCCAGAAATTGAATTAAACAAAACTAAGCCATCCAGAAATTAGGTCTTTGGGTCTTTTTTCCCCCTTTTTGTTTGTTTCGCTATTTTGTTTTTATTTGGAGCTGGCTCCACCTCTCTCTGATCTGTAATAAAGCAAACTTGACACATTTAAAAAATGTTTATTCACAAACAAAAAACGCACAGCGGCCGAGAAAAATTAAAATGCATTGCGTACGATTTTTTAAAAATAGCCAACGCAATAATTTTTTTGTATCTTTCATGCACTCCACAATGAACAAAAACTCAGCCAGAGACAAAAGCCCAAGGCAACCCCTCCCCTGTCATTGGGTCTATGATTTATGTATCTGAATCTGATTTCGAATCTTCTGCACTTGTTTGCCAACTGGCTTTTGATTGAGCCAAAGTTTCCCGGGCAAACGGAGATGAAAACAAAAATTTGGAAAGTGAATAAAACTCACATTGATAGGTTTGAATGAAATACTTTGCGGGGCTGCGTAAATAAATCAAAGTGTAAACAAAAGTGAGCCAAATGTGGCAGCGTTCCCCCTCGGAGACATGCGAACTTAGTTGGTGGCAAGATGGATGTCCAAACTGGGAGCTCGAGTCCCGCCCACATGGAACTTGCCAACTGCCAGCGGCGGCTCGACTTCTCTACTTCTTATATACGAGTATAGTCCACGAGACCCTCCATCGATCGTTGGCCACTCCTGCCTACACGCACCGATTTCATTTCGATTCGAACGAGACAATAGAAATCGAACAGCCAACCAGTAGCTGGCCAAGAAGTTGGCCAGAAGTAGCACTTGTCCGAGATCCCACAAAAGATATCGAAAAATGGAGCAGGGCAGCCCACATAAAGAGCTGTCGACCCGGCGGGGCAGATTTCAGCGGAAAGTGGTTGCCATTCGCCGACAGCTCTAACAAACGGTATTCGCTTTAACCCGCGCTTCACTCACAAATATTTCTTCTATCCAACGCACGCACAACGTTGCGTATACGCAATGTGTGACCGGTGGGTGGGTGGATGGGTGGATGTAGAGGAAATGCAGTTGGCCCGCTCCATGCGGCAACAAATACGGATGCCGAACGACAAGCACAGATGTTTTTACAACCCAAAAGATACAAAGCAGGCACAGATAGTGACGCTAAAGCTGCTGCTGCACTGACAGATGCAGATTTACATGCACTGTGGGAAAAAAAAGGTAAAAGGTTGGAGGAAAAAAGTCTTGAAGATGTTCAACCTAATCTGCTGATGGTTCCGTAAAAGTTTCTTTTAATAATTCCTAAGCCACAGAAGAAAAGGTTTAAGCATGAATATTGTATTAAAATTAGTTTAAGCACTATGTTTCCCATTTTTTTCCCGGTCCAAACTGTACTCAAATACGTTCAGCTCAGCTTGTTTCAGTTTGGAGTTGAGTTTTGCCAAGTTTTAAGCCGATGGATTTATTTTTTTTTTTTGGGGTTTTAGTCGGGATCTCCGAGGGGGGAGCAGAAGTAGTTGAAGTAGGGGGGATTGAGTGGGGAAGGATCCAAGACTGGGGGTCACCACTTACCGAAGGGGTGATGAAATGTGTTGACTTTTTTCAGGCCATCCGGGGAGGGAGGATTATTTTTTAGTGGATGGTGTGATGATGCAGCTTCCCTTTCTAAGCGACAAGTTACTGCGGTGGTATTTCCGAGCAGTAAATTTTTGGCAGTACGAATGCTCGGAGCTTTTCCAGCTGGCCCCCCGTCAGTAGTAGTTTTTCCTCTATTTTCCAGTTAACCGTTAGTCGCGTGTAGTGCCGCCGGTTGCCGTTACAAAGTACCGTTCACAACTGAGCTCGTTTTTTATGCGGCCCGATACTTTTATAGATTCGCAAAGTGCCGGGCCTGGCCAAAAAAAAGGGTAGAGGCTCTTTGCCTCCGGAGGGGTTACGGTTACATGCCGCTGTGTTAGCTGCCCGTTGTTTGGTGTGTGTTGTTTTTCTTTCCTTTGCTTTTCACCCCTTTCGAAAAGCCGGCTCTTTCTGGCCAAGGTAACGACGAACCCCCTCCCTGCGGCACCCCCTCGAGCCCCGCCCCCTCGTTTCGACAATAAAGCCAGGTGCAGCAAACATGTTCGAAGTTCGAACGCGTTGCCAAGTTTTCCTTTGTCGTGGCTTTCTGCTTTTGGCCGCCATCCGGTGAACGGTAAACCCGCAAGGAGTCACGTGAGCAAGCGAGAGGGAGAGAAAGGGAGCGACAGGGAGAGGACGATCAAGGAGCCGGCTGGCATTTGGTGGCAGCAGCTGCAGGTGCGACAGAGAAGGAGACAGCTGCAGATGCAGCCGCCGCCGGATAATTAACAAGTCACTCATTAAGTTAGCACATCCCACAATCCCCCTCGGAAACCTCTTCTTCTTCCTTAGGAGACGAGGCGGTTTCCCTTTTTACTTAATTAACTCAATTATTGCATTGCCAAAACAGGGAAGAGTTTAGCGGAATCTTCGCAAGAGTTAATGAAAGACTTCAAGGTGCACTTACTGAAATGAGTTTATGAATATGTATCTCATATTTCCCGGAGCACTCCGATCCTTTAATTATTTCAAATATGTTTCATTTAATTTAAGTGCTCCAATTTGGTAGGCTTCAATTAGATACCATCAAAATTCCACAACAAATATGTTGTATATTGCTGTTTATATCTGATGAAACCTAATGAAATACAACTAATTTGGTACCCACACCCATAAATGCTTTGATTATTGCTGTTTTGATTAAACGAAAGTATATTTGTTTTGCACTTACTTTCCCCTCGATGAACTCTCTTCGCAGACATCCAAAGTTGCTTTCTCGCCCATGCACAAATAAATAAAATCGATCTCAGCTGCTGTTTTTGCCTTGTTTATTTATTGGGTGTCAAAAGGTGCATCCATCAGATACAAGATACGAGCTACCAGCCACGATGTACGAAGATACAAGACACGAGATACTTATTTATGTGGGCTATCTCTGGCATCTCCTGGGACTACTCATCTCTTTTGTCCCGCGACTTGTTAACATATCGAATACATTTTTGATATGTGTGTTGTGTTGTGGAATCTTCTCCCTGCTCGAATGGCAATCACCGAAAGAGCCAGATACATTAACAATTGCAGAAACATCTTCATCAAAGACGCCTCAATCGCTGCTGCCACTGACATTTGATGAGGGCGCCGACCCTTTGGACCGCCCTCGCTCCCTCTCACTCCCACACAGCCCCTATCTCGCTCTCGCTCCCTTTGCGAATCCCCGGCTTTCAATCGCGCAGATTGGATTCAAACATATTTCGAGTGCTGAATTAAGTGACAGTTGAACGGGGGTCCATGTGGTATTCCTCTATAGAAAGTAGGTTCACTGAGATCCTAACGGAGCGAGGTATTCCCCCGATTAGCCTGACGATAACTGCCGAAATATATGGGTGATGTCAACAATTCAAGTAAGCTGTTCAATTCACTTCCTAATTTTTTAGGTTATCAGGAGAATTCAATAGTATATTCTATACATAAAGAGAGATTTTTTTCCTGTATTAATTTAAAGGGAAACAACTCATTTTAAAATATAAACGCCTGGAAAAACCACTTATAATTAATTTCTTGCGCCGCAAATGTTTTTCCACAGCCACCGAGGAAAACACTTTCAATCCAATCCCATTTCGCTCAGTCGTAAAAAAGGGAAACACAAGCAAAACATTTGGCCATAAAATTGCATTGACTAAAAAGACAATTTTTTTAAGTTGTTGTTTGGTGTTTTGTATATTCTTTCGTCGCTCTTTCCACTCTTAGCCATTTGTTTTTCTTTTTCAACGTGTTTAATTGCCGTCCCTCGGAGCCGCAAAAAAATTAAAGAAAATGAAACAAAAACACAGAAAAAATCGTAAAAGCCAAAAATACTACATACAAAAACAAGGTGAAAATATTGCGCAAAGCCAAAATAAAAAAAAAAAAATCATAAAAATAACAAAGAAGGCTGAAACAAAAATCAAACAAATTCAAACAGAGGCGAAAGCAAAGGCAAAACCCGATTTATGCAAAATTCAGATAAGCAAAAAGCCAAAGACGATTAGGCGATTTAACGCACGCAAAATAAAATCCAATAAAATGTGATTACTGGTGGAGCGTGAAGGGGACGGGGCGAACAAAAACAGATGTTCGACACGGATAAAAACAACAAAAAAATAACAGTAACAACCAATGGCGTAGAAAGAAGAATTTCAGGGGGTACAAATTTATTCAGATACAAAGATACAAATTAAATTCGGCCTTTTAGAATTTAAAGCGATTAAAACAGGAAAGTTTTGACTTATGATTGTCACTTTCTTTAGAAAACTGAGCAAATAATCCAATATAGATGTGGTTCTTTGTTAATAACATTTATAATAATAATTATTAAGTAATACCCCTTGAAAAAATCTTCTACGCCACTGGTAACAACATCAGTTTGAGGAGCTCTGTTTGTGTTTGTTGTTTATTTTGCTTGCTGCTCGTGTCAAAGAAAGAGATGGTTTGCTATGAAGATATCCTTTGACAGGAAGAGAGCGAGGAAATCAAGGATTTCAGTCAACTAGTTTTTAGGGCCTCACCTGCCTCTGCCACATGCCGCTGCTCAAATTACGCTGCTTCCCCTGCCACATTTTTTTCGCACTGCATCCTTCTTGTTCCTCCGTCGACTCTGTTTCGTATATAATATATAATAATTATTATGACATGCACCGCCCCCGAAAACCCCCGTAAAACCCCTATTCAGTCTGCTTCCGTTCCAGACAGAAAAAAGAGGAGAAAAATATAGAGATATACTTTTGCTACACGGTAACTGAAAAATATGAAAGAAGAACAAGGATCGGGAAAAATTGTAGTTGGTAGATAAGAGGCTGAAAGTTGGCGCTCAAAGTACAGTCAATTAAATTGTATTTGGTGGCATAGATAGTTGGGCTTCCCTGTGTTCAAAAACAATACTTTACTTTCAGCAATATTCCGAACTAAAATTAGAATTAAAATCATAGAAAAAATCCTCATAAGCTAGACCAAAATAATGTTCTAGCCCTTCCTATAAATATAATGTTTAATATTTCTATAAATTTCTATAAACAGAAACCCCAGTTTTTAATATACTTTTCATCGATTATACTTTTGTTTATTGCGGGACCCAAAAAGTTTTGAAAGCAAAAAATATGCAATATCTACTAGTATAAGTGGCTGTTTGTAAACATTTTGGTTTCATCATGACTTTTTAAATCCTTTGTTTACAAGATGTTCTGAGTTTAAATGGTTAAAAAATTGGAAAGTGACCACTGTATTTGGGAAGAGAATATAAAACAGGAACGAGACAGAGGACGCAGTCTGCTGCAGCTGCGAATATCGCCAATGTCAATGTGCGATTCATTCTGTAAAACATTGCGAGACATCAGACGAAGTAGTAGTAATGCCCCTGCCCGAAAACCCCTTAAAAAATACACTCTGCGCATACAAATAAGTGGGGGAACACGCTGGGCAAACGGAAAACGGAAAGTGGCTGGTAGTAATTTTATTGAGAAATCCGAAAGGAAGAAGGCACAAGCCAAGAAGTGGACGCAGGGGCACGAATCGTTGAAGGAATGCGACGCCTGCCGCATAATAAAAAAAACAACAATGCCAATGCAAGTGGAAGTATCTGGGTATCTTTAGGATTGGAGTACTCGAGTATCTGCCGCATATGCAGCCAAATGCATCCGCACAGTGGGCACAACAAAGTTGCTCCCATAAAAGCGGCGGAAAAGCAAAGCAAACCATGGCAAACAAAACAACAGAAAACAGCCAAGAAGAAAAACAAAAACATCACAAGAAAACCAAACCACAACACCTTGCCAAAAAGAGAGAGAATGTATCTCAAAGATACGCGCTCTTATACGCTCGAACATGTTCGCATGCTCCATCTCTCAGTTGTTGCATCAGCTGTTCGAACGTGTTGCATATAAGAGACTCGATGGAGCCACAACGTGTTGTGTATAAGAGATTGCAAGACAAGTGCTTATACTTCTTGTTTTACAAAGTGGAAATGGAAGGAGGAAGTGCAAGGGGAAGGGGGAAGTGGAGGAAAGTATGAATGAGTGGGAGATCCAAACAAGATCATTCATGATCGCTGGTGAAATGATTTCCGATCTTTGTACAATATAACAAGACTTCTACGAGTTTGTCAATATAAGAGTTTGGAGTGATTAAATCTTTACCTAATGAGATTCTTGGCTTTTAAAGGCATTTGGGAGTTTTGAATCACCATTTAAAAATTAAAATTTATTGAAAAACCTTGATTTGATAGCCCCACCGTTTTGCTGAATCGCAAAAATCCATCAATGGGTTACTTTTCCATTCAATAAGATGCGAAAACAAAGTAGAAGCAGGAAAGTGGAAAAGTACTACCGGTTCCCAATTTATTAGAGCAATTAATTCGTGTGCTTAGGTAAACACTCGGGATTCCCTCCTACACACGCATTCAAAACAAACAATTACGAATTCTGCACATTTTTACCCACTGGAGGTTCGAATTTCCATGATGTTTTCTCGAGTTCCCATCCATCACCTGTGCAAATTCTAACTTAACCATCTGAAGACTCAATTTAGAACTCTTCCTGCCACCGAAAACCCATCTCCTTGCTTTGGGGAAACTTCGCAGAGGCAACTGTGCCCTGTCCATTAATTCAATGTAAACCATTCAAATGAAATCCATTAGAGTTTATATTTCAGCCATAAAACGTCGGGGGCTTCCTTTGGTAGTTGCTATTTCCAATGGGCCACTATATAGGCTCCCCCCTCAACCCTCGCCC